AGGTGTAGAAGAAGTGTGTTAACTAGAGGTGGAGAGGGTGGGGGGGGGAGTAGATTTGAATGATTTCTGAAGGATAATGTGACACTATAGTCCAGAGTAATATAGTGGCTTCTGAAAATTCAGCTTTGCAATCACAGGAATAAATTACATTTGAAAATATATGAAATAGAAAATAGTTATACATTCTTGAAGGTGAGTAAATGATGACAGAATGTTTATTTTTGGGTGAACTATCCCTTTACAATTATATTTTGGGATTGTTTTGCTTTTAAAAAATTAAAATGCAAATAAATTATTATTTAAATAAGTTTCAAATAAAAAAAACTGTTCTATCAGTGCATACTTTACTCTGTGCCACTGAACCAGCCATATATATATATATATATATATATGATCGATTTTTATGAACAATTATTTCATTTTAATTCATATTTAATTTTGTTTCAGTGTAAAAAAATGCAAGAGGAGAGAGATGAGGCCTTACAGAAGCTGAAAGAATTTGAACAAGGTTGGTTTTTAAGATCTTAGATTCACTTAATGTCAATCAGACATCCTTCTGTGTAGTACATTAAAACAAAAGTGTATTGTAAATCTCATTGATTTATAAAGAATACTTCCACTTCTATTTCTGTGGGAAATACAGGCTATATGCTTTGCTCCTTTGGACTTTGATCCAAGGATATTGCAAGAACTATGACACCGTTCCATACAGACACACCTAGTTATTCCTAATCATCATTTCCCTATTTTCCAACAAGACATGTTTTAATGTTATTCAAACTGCACTAAATCAAAGCAACTGGAGTAGTTCTCCAAATCCTGCTAAAATTCCTTGTGTGTGAACAAACTATGTATTTGAGTTTACATTCACTGTGCCCAAATGGGTATGTAATGTTTGGTAGGATGTTTTGATGAATACATTAGATACCAAATTCAGATCTGAGAGGTTCTTTTTGCAGACATGAGTGGAGCTATCTACTGCTTTCGCTCTCATAGTTTGAAGTTTGGGGTTGATATCAATCACACAGATGTGAGGGGGAAAGCGACAGGTTTCAGTCTCAAATGGGTATTTCGGCAGTCCTTCCCTCACCAAATTGCCACACTTCACCTCTCTTGCACGTCTATACAAATGTCACCTTTTTCTTCACCGGGGAAACGTGGAATTCAAACATGTGAATTAAAAGGCTAAATTTTAAAAAGCACAACAAATGGCCGGTGGTGTTGGGGAGGAGGGAGGAAAAATCCATTACATCCTCATTTTAATGCACGAAATAGGTCATTATTTGATAGAGAAGAGCGCATGTTTTTGTGAATAATCTTGGCCTTTGCTCATGCTTCCTCCGCCATAAACACGTATTGTGTATGACTTCCACTTAAATAGTGGCTGCAGCTTCTAGCAGAGCAGCTGCATATTAGGAGCTATTACGTGATTTCATAGCTCTTGGAAAATTGCTTCTATTCAGCGCAAAGCGACCGAGGGGGAGGCTGGCTGGGTGGGGGGAAGCTGGGGAGCGAACGGGCGAGGAAAAAGCCCCCAACACACAATCATTTCTTTTCAATTGGAGATGGCAAGGTTGATGACAACATGACCATTGTGTTCTAATGATAAGACCACAAAGGCATCTGCCCCCTCATCAAGCTTGGCGCTGTAGAAACAGCATCAGAGGCTTTAATTCACTTCTCCAACACCCAGGCCCGATAGCATTATACACGGCCTCGTCATGCACGTAATCACTGTCTGTCTCTGAGAAGACGTGTGCGTGAAGAGCTGGGTGTGGGGGGGGGAAGGGGGGGGGGGGGGGGGGGGGGGGGGGGGGGGGGGGGAGGAACGGCGTGAGAAGAAAGAGATTTGAAGATGTAATGTTGATGGCGAGGCCAAAACTTACAATTAAAGCTGCCATGCCTGACGTCTGAAGTCCCCCCCCTCGTCCCCCTCCTGCTCCGCAACTGCCTCACACTTAGCCCGGTTTATGTGTAGCAGCTATTACAATTAACCTGTCACTTAGTGCTAGTACTACCAGTGAGAGAGAGATGAAAGATGGGGTGGAGGGGGACCAACTGGCAGCTAAATACTGTTTAATGAGTGACAGCGAAAGGCTTACAGCGGGATCTTGGATATCGCAGACACGGGCGTTCATCAAGTTTTAATTAGGTGTCATTGGGAGGCAGCCGCTGACCGTGATGGTGCTAATTCCTGTTTTTGCCTCTCAACCACAATGTGTAATTAGTTAAGAGGCTGTGAGCTGGTCCGTGGCCAGTCTCTGGTGATTACGGACACAAATAAGGTAAGAGCTCCAGGCGTTAAGAGCATCTGCCACTTCCATCTCGCCATCTTCCGCCTCTTTGGAAGTCATCAGACTGACTGCGTTTTGAATTTGAATGTTGTAAGTTTAGTCTCAAATCAGTTTGTTTTGAGAATCTTTTTGTGCATGACAGATTAATCTTAAGCATTTATAAATATATCTCAAAGAGAGACCCTTTAGAGACACTGTGGATCTTTGAAGGTTCTTGGATTTGCAAGGAATGCAAGGAAACACAGCAGATAATTTGATTAACCCAAACAATGAGCCTTGGCTTGACGGGCCTGCCCTGATCTCAGTCTCCCGTCCTTATAGGATCAGTATGAAGGGAAGCACTGAACTTATTCAAACAGATCTATAGAATAGACAACAGTTGTGTGAAGGCCAAGCTGGAGAGGTTATTGATTGGAAAAGAAAATCTGAAAGGAGGACAAATTAACCTTTTTCAGCATCAAGATGTTTGTGTATATGCTTAGTTTGGGGTCAGTTTTTAATGTTTTTGAAAGAAGTCTCTTTTGCTCTTCACGGCTGCATTTATTTGATCGAAATACAGTAAAAATAGCTATTTTCTGTTTTGATATATATTAAAATTTAATTTATTTATTTGATGGCAAAGCTAAAATTCAGCAGTCATTACTCCATGATCCTTCAGAAATCATTCTAATATGCTGAATTGGTGCTTAGGAAACATCTGCTGCTTCTTCTGCTTAATATTCTGATACATTTTTACATTACCATACCAATACATTACCCTGATACATTTTTTTTCAGGATTTTCTGATGATTAGAAAGTAAAAAAAACAAAAAACATTTATTTGAAATAGAAAACTTTTGTAACATTATAAATGTCTTTACTGTCACTTTTGATCAACGCATTCCTTCTGAGCAAAAGTATTAATTTCTTTAAAAAAGTAGTGTATATGTGTTGAAATGGTTCAAATATGCAGATGATGTTGGAAAACTGTTCACTTAAATGGTCCAACAGAGTGCTAGATCAATGGATACAAATATTCCATGTCCATATTAATCTTTAAATTACAATTATGAAATAAAACAAAATGTATTATAATTATATAAGAATTACAAAGATGTTTCAAGTAATTTTAGATGGACAGCATGTCCCACTACAGAACACTTGTATGACTACAGTGACATCAACTATCCAAAACACAGTTCAAATCCTTGCTAGCGTTGTGTTAGCATGTGTTGTGTCCACTATAGTTTCCACTGCTTCATACACCAGATGTCCCTAGTCGACTTGCTCAAAAGGTGTCTGGAGAGCATGAAAACTGATAAAGAGCTGTTCTAAGTTTCAGTGCTCTGGACAGAGTAATTGTATGATGTTGTAACCTTGTCTGTGAACGTCATGATGTACTGTGTTGACTGCTCCAGTGTGTGCATGACAGAAAATTAGTTGTGTGCTTGCCTGTAGTGACAACTGTAGTGTGTTTGTGTAAAATATTTGACATATTGCTTGTCTTCAGTGTCACACAGGGTGATCGAGGAGGTGAACAACATTCAGGAGAATCTAGAGATCGAGAAGACATGCAGAGAAAGTGTAGAAGCTTTGGCCTCAAAGGTGAGGTTTTACAATAAAGTTATGGTTAGCTGTTGTTTTATTCGTTTTCATTTGAATCCCCTTATTTCTGTTCGGTTTCATTTGATTCTGTTGTGCTCTGGTTCATTTGATTCTCCTTTGTTCTGTTCTGATTCTGTTCTATCTATATTCTATTGTGAATAAAATATAAGTTCATGAGATTTGTAAATTATTCCATTCCTTTTTTTACTCACAATTTGTACAGTGTCCCAACTTTTTTGGAATTGGGTTTGTAATTAGGGGCCAGACCCCGAAGGGGCTGTAGCCACTATTTTATCTGTATGTTTTCTTATTATTATTTTTCTACCCGAATAGGAGTCAATGGCAGCCCTGTGAAGGGAGCATAGGAAAATTATGAAAATTGGCACGCTTGTAGTAATGGTCATGAATCTGACCAACTTTGGGGTCTCTAGGACTAGAACTCTATAGTGCCACCACAAGTTCAAAAATTCACTTTTCAAACATTTATAACTTTTGAACTCTCTAGAAAAAGGAAACTTGGTACAGCTGATTACTCTCTTCATTCTGATCACATTCAATAGCTTACATTTAGACTCCACCCATTACAGTAGTGGCCATTTTGAAAAGTGCATTATTTCATTTTTTCACTACTACTTCTTCAAAATTTGTCCAATTCTAACGAAAATTGGCAGATATGATCTTTGGACCGAGCCGCATTGAAATGACTGAACAGAATTTCATGAACTAGTGGTGAAAAAAAAGTTATGATGTTGTAAACTTAACAAGGTCGACCCGAAATTGGTTCAGAGGCGGTATCTTGGCCAAACTTTGATCAATCGAAACAAAAATTGGTATGCTTCATCAACACCATGATCTGAGGGCCAAATTACATAAATGACAACAGTGCCACCTATGAATCATGAGATACAAAAATTGCTATTTTTGCTAATAACTTATGAACTGTTAGTCAGAAAATCAAAAGAACCATTCTGTCGCACCATTTTGAAATTTGTCATAAATTGCGATATCTTTTAAACCATTTGACACACCTGCACAAAAATTGGTATATTTCATTGACAGGATGTCCCGGAGTTATCTGAGAAGTTTGAACACAGCGCCACCTAGCATTCCAGAGATATAAAGATTTTTGCAAAAATGCTTAAGTTTTGAAAGCACTGTCCAAATTTTGTTGGTTTTATATCCCTTCATTCCCTGGGTTATGCCGATTCTGACAATATTTCATTTGTCATTTTCCATTAATGTGCCTGCCCATAGCTTTGCTAATCTGGTTATTGTGCTAAGGAACTTTTTTTGTGAGCTCATTCTCACACTGAAACCTCTCCTCAGCATCCTGGTGAATGTGCATGGGTGACTAACTCAATGTGTTACACCACGGATCCCGATTGCTTCATGTCGTGGATTCGAAACACAGTGTAACACATGCCTAGACCGCAAGAGTTACTGTGGCAAGAATTGATGCAGAAGTTGCTTCTGTTGTAGGCATTGTGATCAATGGATACAAATATTCCATTGTCCATATTAATCTTTAAATTTAAAATATGAAATAAAACTAAATGTATTATATTTATATAAGAATTACATAGATGTTTCAAGTAATTTTAGATGGACAGCATGTCCCACTACAGAACACTTGTATGACTACAGTGACATCAACTATCCAAAACACAGTTCAAATCCTTGCTAGCGTTGTGTTAGCATGTGTTGTGTCCACTATAGTTTCCACTGTAGTTTCAGCTGCTTCATACACCAGATGTCCCTAGTCGACTTGCTCAAAAGGCGTCTGGAGAGCATGATAACTGATAAAGAGCTGTTCTAAGTTTCAGTGCTCTGGACAGAGTAATTGAATGATGTTGTGACCTGGTCTGTGAACGTCAGACCGCAAAGGTACTATGGCAAGAATTGATGCAGTTTTTGCTTCTGTTGCAAGCATTGTGATTTTCCAAGTATGATCTCACCTGAAAGTATTAAATACAACACGCAGTGCATTTATGTACAAATTCATTATTTTGAATTGATTCTCAGTTGGACTTCTGAACTTCAGCATCTGTGTGTAATGTTGTGTCATTTTGATTTCTTATTCATGCTGTTAATTTTCATTTGAACTTCTGTTCATCCTGATTTCATCTCACCTATAATTTTGAACAGGTGGTTTTTCATGTTCATTCAGTTTCTCCTGTTTTTGCTCTTCCTGGTCTGCGCTGCAGCCACGTATCGCTGCTTGCAGCTATATTTATGTTTGTTTTCATTTGATTTCATTCTGTTTTATTTAAATTTCTTCTGTTCTGTTTCATTTGATTCTCATCTGTTCTGATGTGTATGATTCTGTTTTGTTCTGTGTTTTATTTCATTCTGTTATGTTCTGTTTCATTTGATTCTCCTCTGTTCTGTTTTGATTCAGTCGATTCTGTTCTGGTTCATTTGATTCTGTTCGGTTTCATTTAATTCTGTTCTGCGTCATTTGATTATGTTCTGTTTAACTAGAATTTGTTCTGTTCTCTGTTTTGTTCTGATTCATTTGATTGGTTATTTTTTTGTTTGATTCTGTTTAATTTAATTCTCTTGTGCTCTGTTTGATGTGGTTATCTTTTGTTCTATTTCGTTTGATTCTGTTCTTATTCATTTGATTCTCCTGATTAATTGGATTTTCGTCTTCTCTGCTCACCTCTGTTGTGTTCTGTACTTATTTATTTGATTCTGTTCTTTTTTTGTGATTTGATTCTGTTTAATTTAGTTCTCTGGTGCCCTTTTTCATGTGATTCTCTTTCGTTCTTTTTTTATTTGATTCCTTCTGCTCTGTTCTGATTCATTTGATTTTGTTCTCTTTTGTTTCATTTGATTCTCTTTTGTTTCATTTGATTCTCCTTTGTTCTGTTCTGATTCATTTCATTCTGTTTTTTTTGTTTGATTTGATTGTTTCCCTTGATTATCTTTTTATCTTTTTAATTTGGTCTTGTTACTTTATGTTCTAATATCCTTAGTTTTCTCCTGTTTCATTCAATTCTGCTCTACTCTTCTCAGAAACAATATTTCCAGAATCATACACCCATGTTTTCGCTTTCTGCTTTCATGGTAAATAAATTGGGATCCATCATGCCTCTATCCAACCACCCTTACATCCATTTATTTCCTCCTCCATCCTGAGCAAAGTACACAGAATTGTACTCCACATGGGCAGTCAATCCATTCAGTTCATGCTGGAGTCAATCTTAAAGACGGTCTCCCTCCCGTATACCTGCATCTTGGTGTTGACCACAGCCAGCCCACATCCCTGGACTCACTCATTACAGAAGTATTCAATTTGCCATCAGTCCCAACTCAGCACATTGTTTAGTTGGGTTTCAGTTCTGCCGTTCAGGCTCAGGCGGGTCTGAAAAGTGAAGTGGCATCTACACTGAGCGCTCAGCAGGTAAATGGATCTCTAAAAGCCCAGGTGTGAGGCAAATTAGCAGGAACGATTACCGGCTGTATTGCCGTCTCTCTGATGGAGGAATCAGCTTTCTTCTGCTGCCTGTCGGTGATGAGCGCTGATCACCACACACAGAGAGAGAAATGAGAGAACAGTAGCAGTGAAAAGAATAAAGACACAGATAAGAGATAAAGACCAGGAGAAAATAGTCTTTAGATTGAAAAAGGACACTGTTGTCCTGCGTTTTAGAAGCAGGCTAGCTTTCATTTGATGTCGTTCTGTGTCCAAAAAAAGAAGACATTTCACTGTGCAAATGAAAACTGACATTTGTTGTTGTTTTTTTTGTACTTGAGAAAATAGACTGAGGTGACAAAACCCTGCTGACTTATGGTTATTTAGCGTGGATGACAGGATTTCTGTCCGGCCATTTCTTGAGAATCACTTGCTATAGATTTCTCTTGAAGTATAGCTAAAAAAAAATTCCTTGAAGTATGTGAAGCCATCGCAGATGTTTCTGAGAGCTGCAGTTGAGGAAGACCATAGAGCATTTAATTTGTACGGAGGAAATAGACCTGCAGCTGGGCCGTTTTGTGCCTCAGCATTATGTGTTGGATAAAAGCTCGATTTAACCAATCAATGGTATCCTGACATCCTTAAATGCACAGCTCAGCTTGTTCTGTGTTCACCGATGGCCATTGCGCATGAAAACTGGTGCCTTTGTCCTGGCTGCTCTGTGAACACCCCTGCAACGAGCCCCTCACGTCTGTGTGACTAACAGCAGGAGAGTCCTGTAGGTTTCGGCCTCCACAGGTTTGCTCATCTTCCATCTGTCAGGACACATGACTGTTTGAGGATTCAGTTTTGTTTGTCACTAGTTGCTCTTTCAACACATAGTCGATTTATCTAAAATATCTCATGTCTTTATTATAAGGTTAGGAAACACTTTGCATTAGATCTCTCAAATCCAGATTTCTTGCATTAAAATCATTGATTTTAATGTTTTTGAAAGAAGTCTCCTATGCTCACCAAGACTGCATTTATTTGATCAAAAATGCCGAAGTATTATTACAATTTAAAAAAAAAAACGTTTCTATTTTAATATATTTTAAAATGTAATTTATTCCTGTGATGGCCTTTGATTGTCTTTTTTATTCCAGTCTTCAGTGTCACATGATCCTTCAGAAATCATTCTAATATGCTGATGTGGTGCTCAAGATCACCAAGGTTGAAAACAGTTCTGTGGACATTTTGCCTTCAAACGTTTCATATAATACATAAAGTCAGCCGGTCATTATCGCAAAAATGAGAGAAATTCCTATTAGGAAATGCACAGTATATTACCATATCACGTATCTGATAATATACTTTTTTTTTTAAATATTGGTATTGGATGAAATTGGTTATTTAAAATATATTGCTATAATACATATTTAAGATATTGCTCATTTTATCATGAAAAAATCTTATTACTCAGTTTTTACATTTGTCATCTAATTTTAACTTAACATTAATCTTTTAAAACCCTAAATATTTAATAACACTATTAAATGTAATCATAGTGATTATATCTGTAATATCGGTGCATTCTTAGGTATATTTTGCCATAATGAGCAGCAGACTATACATTATTCCACTTATTTTCTGGCTACTTACCCAGTAAATAATTAAATAACAAGACATGAAATATTGATATTGCCTTGTCACTGTATTTATGTGAACTAATCTTGCAAATATTTATAGAACAAGTGTGGAAGACTTTGACTTGTTTTGCATCTCAGCCCACAGGATGAAAAATAAATCTCACCTCTTTTTTGAAAGTGTGAAGGATAAAATTACAGCATTGACTCATGCCAAATTTACATTTAAATTAGTCCAAAAATTTTGGTAGGTGTGATTGGAGGATGGCGAGTCGAATTGTCTCAAATAGTCTCTACATTTCGGTATGATTTATTGTGTATGATGGCTGTAATTTTGTCTGCCAAGGGACCCTGAGGCAGGCAAAAAAAAAGAAGAGGAAAAAAAATCATAATCAATTTCTTAAACTCTGGAACATTTTGAATTAAAAAGCAGTAATGGATGAGGGTTCACGGGTGGTGGCAGTCAAATCAAAGTGCAATCCAAACACATGACATTTTGTTTTGATGTGTGATCAGAGGAGATGAGGGGCCTTGCCACCTCGGGACGCACATCTGATTTCTGCCACTGTGTAATTTCACCGCTGCGCTCTCATCAATGCCAGATGATTATTGCAGAGCGAGTGTGTATGCGTGTGTGTCTGCGTGTTTATCCCCATATTATGTGTTGTTGATTGCGTTTTTAAAAGATGCATTCAGCAGGAAGGACGGCATCAGGAAATGGATTGACGTGCTGTGTCCCCTCACTTGGATGTCATTAATAAAGGCTCGTTAAAGAGGGGGCTTTTTTTTTTATTCCTGCCTCCCACTCTTTTTCTCTCTCTGACCGGAATGTCATCTGGGACTAATTTACATACCTCCACCCCCATTGGCTCTCTGAGTTTCCATTAAGTGGCCTCCCTAATTGAAGTGTGAATGACCAGTCTTAAATTACTTTAATTGGATGTTCAAAAAGGTACAATTTGTCGGATGCAGGTATGTGTATGTGGCGAGGGAGGGGGTCCGTGGCCGCACATGATAGAAATGCTGTAATTATTTATGAAAACAGGAGTGTCTGCTGCTGCTGCTCCTGTATACGTGTAATGAAATGTCTGTTATTTTGCCCTTGATTATTGCTCTTTTTCAGAGTATTCGTGCTGTGTGTGTTTGACTGTGATTGAGGGGAATTGCATGGGCGCCCGCTGGGGTTCCAGTGGGCTGGTCTGTCTACATGCTGCTGATTTGATTTCTCATATCTTTTCGCTCTGTGGCAAATGCAGAAAATCACAGGCTTGGGTTTTATATCATTTGTGGCGTTACCGGTGTCATTTTGATCTCTGATTATTCCTAGAAATTTGACTACATTGGCCTCACTAGATTAACTTGTTTTGTATTGTCTATAGACACTGGATTTTCATTCTCTTCACAGAGACCAAGAAAATTCATGTCTTGATAGTTTGGCTCAATTGGTGTGTGATGCTAGCAGCACTCAGATCATGAGTTCAAATGTATACAATAAATGCACTCTAAGCCGCTTTGGATAAAAGTGTCTTTCAAAAACACAGATGTATATCTTTCTCTCAGTTGAACAGACAGAACCGTTCTCTGAAGAGGAAGAGTATGCTCTATATGTCCCACCTTGGTGCCGATGTCGTCGCTGAGATCAGTCTGGATGATGATGATGAAGATCCACAGGAGGAGGAGTCAGGTGTCTGTAGCTCCTCCCACTGTCAGATTGTGATTGCAGGTGGGTCAGTGCACTGTCCCACAATGTATTGCTTAATAAAATATTTTTATCACTTTATACTTTTTGCATCTACAGATTAATTTTAAAGGTGAAGTGTATCATTTCTATGGCACAGGCAGCGAAAGAATTGCAAGTTTTTTTTGTTCAAGTGGATTGACTGGGCCTGTCATAACAACATAGGCTCTGGCATGAAATTGAGGCTTGACTACCTGTTTAGTCAAACAATGGCTGACAAACTTGTGTGAAAGCAGTCATTATCTAGTAGTTCAGAAATTAGACACCTTTGCCATTTAAGTGTGTAGTTTCTGAGGCTATTAGATAATTAATATTTGAATTCAGAAAATACAGAAAATTTAATTTATGTATTTTTGTTTGTTTTAGATATCAAATTTAAAACGTTTACACTTTACACATACAACAACAGTTCAAAGTAACAGGCTTTTGTTTTTCAGTGTTATATTAAATGTTTTATTTATTTATGTGTTTTAAATATTGAATGCAATTTTTTTTAAAGATCCTTATATTGAAGCAACAGTTGAAAGTGACCACAGGCTTTTTTCGAACACTGAAAAGGACATTAAAAAAAAACATTAGTTCATACAACACATGCTTTTTGTGAGAAACAGACTAAGTCATTTTGCCCTCCGATGCGGTTCTCAATTCATGATGTTTGGTTACGAGACACTTGAGAATTCAGGCTGTTTTGTACTGCAGTTTTTTTTTTATTTTTTATTAATGCTTTTCTTGTTTATTTGTGGTAGAGCTGAGGGATAAACTAGAGGTGATCCTGGCTGAGAAGAAGCAGATTACGATCGATCTGGAGATGACAAGAGAGCAGCTCTGCCAAACTAGACGGGAAGTATGTGAGAAAGGCATTTAATCTTAGGTTTTACTGCATTAACTTACTACTCATCTTTAAGAAATATCTACCGTGCATCATTTTAAAAAGATCTACAATATACACTCTAAAATATATTTTTTAATGAAAAGTAAAAATCATGACAGAACAATAAATGTTTTGATCCACCTCCTTAATGTCTTTAATGTTAACCATTGCCATGTTTCACAGTGGCTTTCACTCAGAATAATGTCAACCAAACAGAAAAGAGGGGTCTGTCTTTGTGTCATGTTGTGCAGTGTTTCAGATGAACCAGTTTAATGCCCAAATAAATGAAGCCCTCGCTCTCCCTTTCTTCCGAAGCTCCTGAAAGAGAAACATGATAATACTGTTTTAATAGCTGAAACATTCCAACAAAAGAAGCTCTTGGGAAAATACAACAGAGGTCAGTTGTGCTCCTGTTCTCTACTGTATCCCATCCTAACTGCTGTACTCACACTCTGCTACATCTTCATTGCTTCATTCAAAGCCTATACTGTGTTTCTTCTATAATTATTACAATAACAATAAGTCATACAGTATTTTTAGGCAGATCTGAGTGATTTCTGACTACTTTAGCTTGATTATAGACTCAAACAGATCATGGAAATATCACAAAAATCAGAATGCATCATTTTCCACGGATACTTTTTCTGTTGTTTTGTGTGTGTGTGTTTTGAGTTGTTTAATAATTTGATGCATGAATTAAATTGAATTAAAAAAATCATAATGTCATAATCTTTTCACTTTAAATTAAGAATTATATTTCTTTTGTTAATACAGTATGATGTATTTGAGAGAGTTGCACATCTGTTGCCTACAATAGAAGATAATAGTAAATATTCTAGAGGTTCTTGGTGCTTCACTAGTTTGAATTTATGTTGCCATTCAAAAGTTTGGAGGTATTATGTTTTTTGAAAGAAGTTACTACTTTTATTCAGCAAGAATGAATTAAATTGATCAAAAGTCAAAGTAAAGACATTTATAATGTTACAAAAGATTTCTATTTGAAACAAATATTGTTCTTTTGAAATTTCTATTTATGAAAAAAACTTTTTGTAAAAAAAAAAATAATAATAATTGTATAGTTTTGCATCACCAGACACTATTGTCTTCTGCTTTACAGCAAAATCTAAACTGTCTCCATGGTTGAGTTTCCATAATTGATTCTGCTATTTTCTTGTTTATCACTGTGAAGCTGCTTTGATTCAATTCTGTATTGTATAAAGCACTATAGAAGTAAAAGTAACTTGACTTAACTAGACCATGCTGATTTAAATTGCCCTGTAGTGGATGTCATATATCAGAAGTTCAATAGGAATTTAAATGATACAATATACAATATTGTGAGTTTGAATTGTTTGCCATGGACATCGGGGCTCAAAGGCTTTCCTGTAAATGTGTGTAGTTTCTCAGTATGCTCTAGATGAGTTTGAGGCCTTGCGGGAGGATCTAAAGCTTGAGAGGGACCTGCGTTCTGAAGCAGAGAAGTTTGCACATGAGGTGAAAGCTCAGTTTGATTTGATTTCAAAATTATTTTATTGAAATGTATAATGTATAATACAATAAATGTATTCAAATATTTATGAATATTTATGAATTCCTGGATTATGTTAAATGGTGTGAATTTGTGAATGTGTGTTTATCTCTCTGTCTCTCTCTGTGGGTGAATGAAGGTGCTAGTAGAGCAGAAGAAGCTGAAAAGACAAAGCCAGATGTTGATCCAGAGTGTGTCTCCAACAGAAGCTCTGCAGAAAGCTCTGGCAGAGATCAACACACTGACTCACACTTTAGAGACACAGAAACTGGAGCATCAACAGCAGGTAACACACACAGACACACATTAATCCCCACACTGTCCTTTAGGTCACAGTGTCCTGCCGACCAAATGTCATTAAAATAATAACAGAAAAACCAATCAAATCAACCATGCCAACCTCCCAGTGTCACACCAAAACACACACCCATGCAGTTCATTACTTGCCTTTCTAAAAGGAGAAAAACGGAGCAGTATTCTGCAATTAAGCAATCATTAAAGGATCAAGGGAAATGCAACTTGACTCACTTTGTGGTATTTGTCTGTCATCACTATAGATTTTAGTCAGAGTGTGTGACATATTTAATTTGTCAAGACCAATAATGAGGCTGTGAGGGATGGAAGCACAGTCACTATGTTGTACTGCCTTAAAGGGATGGTTCACCCAAAAAAGTCATAATTTTGTCACCCTTATGTCATTCCAATGAAAAGGCGAGACTTTCTCACAAGGAGATATTTAGCATGTAAAGTGCAGGGTTCTTATAGTTAACTGAAACTACAACAGAAAAAATCTGTTACTTGAAATAAAATAAACTTTAACTGAAATAATATTAAATATATAAAAAAAACTTAGTTTGCTAAGGCAAACTAAACTAAATAATAATAATAAAACCTATATAGAAAATAAAAATGCACAACAATATTATCAAAACTTCATCCAAAATTGAAATAAAAACAGAAAATATATTAATACAAACTATTATTATTATAGTATCTCAATGACAGTAAAACGCACTGGTCCAGTGTCCCAGCAGCTATTTTCTGTATAGTGAAAGTGGTAAAGGAGACCTGTTCACCATTTCATTTGATGACAGAGTTTCATTTTATAAGTGAAGTATACCTTAAAGTTCAAAGATCACATTCCATTTTTACACCCCGTGTTTTTGTCTTTGATTGTTATGCTGTGTATGTTGGTGGACTTCAGGTGAAGGATCTTGAAGAGCAGATACACAGCAGTGAATTAAAGAAGCAGCTAACAGCATTACAGAGACAGACTGAACTGCTGGAGGAGGAGAGAAAAGAGTGGCAGCACAAACACACGAACGCTGAAACCGAGGCCAAAGACCTCAGATTCACAGGTAGTTTTTAAAGTTTTTTTTGTTGTCAGTTTTTAGAAGTCTCTTATGCTCACCACAGCTGCATTTATTTGATCAGAAATACAGTAAAAACAGTAGTATTGTGAAATATTATTGCAATTTAAAATAACTGCGTAACATCGTTCGTACATCGGGAAGAAGGAGGTGGGAACCGGCGAACATTTAATTATAAAACTTTAATAAACAAATAAACAAGCACAAAACGAAAGTAAAAGCGGCAGTCCCTCACAAAACAACATAAAATCCAGGGCTGCGTTCAGCCCCGACAAAACGGTGCAAAATGTTTTTTAAACGGAAACGGTGGTGCGTTCTGTTCTGATGTCGCAAGAGTTGCAACTATGGCAGCTGAGAAGGCCATTCTTTGTGTTCTTTTTGAAGAATTTTCGGAGCCTGATGAAATCGGTATAAATACGTGTTTAATACTGCAAAATACGCTCGATGTTACAGTCACTGCCCTTGCCCTCCAGAATAAAAGAGAACATCCCAATCAAATGAAGGGATTTGTGGAAACTCCGGTTCTTAATTATTGTGATCCAACATTTGCCTCGCATTTCAGGATGAAAAGACAAATTTTTCAGGTGAAGGATAATCCACTTCTTACCTCTGAGACTGTGTTACGATCTATATGGCCTTATTATTTTTATTGTGAGTATTAGGCTTATCATTATTGCTGATCACTGTTGTTGTGTTGTGCTATGTTATTGTAATATTTACCATTATATAATCAGAGGAATATAGAAGTTTATGAAAGTGTCAACTCCACAATACAATAGCAAAATATGTATAGTATTTTTATGTTACATTATTAATCAGTGTCTAGCACACTTTCCTAAGGAAAGGATATGGACCAGAAGACATTGCAATTACTAAATGATATTTAGACAGACTTAAAGAAGTTCCAGATCTATACTTGTGCTCTTATTATTTCAGTTATTTTGCCTTTAATGTAAATAAACATGTGCAAACAATATACTTGCTCTTGTGAATTTATTTTGACGTTAATTACATTGTGCCAGCGGTCTCTTTAATACCGCGTGGTTTATATACATGTTGCTGCTGATTGGGCTGACATTTTTGACACCCACCAAACAAGAGAAAACGTATCTCAAACCCCGTTGCACACCGTTTTCAGGAAACATTTAGTTCAAACTGGAAACCGTAGCAAAACGTTGCGCACTGGTTTGAGCTTGAACTTGCCCCAGGCCTGGTCCTCTCTTGTCCTTCACTGTCGTTACTCCTCTATTTATCCTTCCGGAGGTCCTCCGTGGGACTCGAGACCGGTGAGCGGTGCAGGTGTCACTCATTATCTTTAACTCCACCGGCCTTGCTCCGTTCCCACGGCTCTCGGCCCTGCCTCACTCATCACAAACTGTTTTAAAATGTAATTTATTCCGGTGATGCAAAGCTGAATTTATAGCAGCCATTACTGCAGTCTTCAATGTCACATGATCCTCGAATCATCTAATATGCTGATTTGGTATTCAAGAAATCTTATCTTGCTCTAATCAATGCAGAAATCATTTGTTCGTCTTAATATCTAGTGGAAACCATGATACATTTTTTTTCAGGATTCTTTAATTAATATAAATTTTAAAAGAACAGTATTTTATTTGAAATAGAAAAGTTTTGTCACATTGTAAATGTAATTTAATTTTAATGCATCTTTGCTAAATAAAAGTATTAATTGAATTACTTAAATCTTACTGACCCAAACGTTTGAACAACACTATAAAATAACCCAGTGTTTGTATCTCTGTGTGTTTTGTAGTGGAGGAACTGAAAAAGAAGCTCCAGCAGGTCTCTAATCCACCACCAGCTGCCCCAGGACCCCCTCCTCCACCCCCGCCCCCACCTCCACTTCCTGCCCCCTCAAGCAACCCACTCAGGTGAGTGTCTGTTTGTGACGAAAGCCATCAAAATGAGGAAATACAACTTAAAAATAAAATAGATCTGATGGAAAATTCGGTCAATGGCTGTTTGCTCATTGGGAAGTTTCAGTGACATCTTTCTTGTCAATTCTCAATTTTTCTTTTGTCTCTATCTTTTAGCTCATTACTGTCTATACTTCGTAAGAAAAAAGATGTGAGCACTGAAATTGCATTAGTGGAGAAGGACTCCTCTGAGAAAACCCCAGGTAAAGAGCGAAGGCCCATCGAAGTTCATTTCCAATCTGTAAACCTGCTCAGTTTTGCTTTATAATAATTCATAGATGCAAAGATTACATAGATTGATAATTTAAAAGCACAGTAATCAGTGATTGCTTATGGTTCAAGTTTTTTTTTTTTCGTTGTTTCGTTTCTTAAGCAGAGCTGGCCTGCAGTTGTGTTCGCTGTCGAGCCACATGAAAGATTTCAGACCGTTATGTTGACCTTTTTGAGCAGTGTTAAGTGTCAATTAAAAATCTGCAGTGCATACAGTCAGATGTAATTAATGTACACTTTCACACAAAGTAAACTTCTGTTTTTCGTCATAGCAGTGGGTAAAAATGAAAGACTTGGGTCAAGTTCAAGTTTGTCCTTAGCCATTTCTTTCAGCCTTGTATTAAAAAACAAGGTGGGGGAAAAGAAGGAAGACTTGCAGCATTTTGCTGAAGGACAAACACTTTTGTACAGAGTTTGGATAAGTCATTATCCATTTATGATTAAAAAAATTGACAATATTGACAATTTTTCAGTTATTGGCATGATGTTCAGGTTTATAGAATTTGACCAGTGAACTTTAGCCTTCCTTTTATCACTAGTGCTTGATTTGCTTTTTCACTGGGTTTGAATATTTACAGGGAATGGTGATCTTTGAATGGATTGACTAAAATTCTTTCACTTCCTCTAATAAGTATAAGTGCGGGCCAAAGCTGAGATACTTTCTCAAATAATTTTAGTTTTTTTTCAAGTGTTCTTGTTAATATTGAACAACATTTTTATGATCTCATATGAGTAGAAAGTTGTTATTGGACTATACTCTAGCTCTGAAACGCAATGCCAATTTAGAGCCTTTGCAAAAGAGAATGTTTAGAGAGACTTTTATCATGTCAGAAAAACATCAGACTGGTAAGCAGATAATATTCACATTTTTTGTTACAGTTAATGACAGGATAACTAAAAGTGTTTGCCAAGGCCACTTAACAAAGATAAACATCATAGATAAACTTTCTTTTTTATGATATTTGTGCATGCCAGCGCAAATAGAAACCTTTGCAGTTCTGTTTAGTGGTGTCAGTATGTCTGATATTATTCTGTGTCTGAAATTACTGCTAATGAAAAGCAGCAGATGTGTTTATCTATATCTGTGTTGATCTGTTTAAATGTGTTTTAATAGAAATCCCATTTGTCTCTGTCTGTGTGTGTGTGTGTGTCTGACTGACAGAAAAGGACATCAGACATCAAGCTGTGGATGAAATGATGCAGCGAATCAAAAAAGGAGTTCAACTCCGACGTGTTTCCCAGAGAACCAACAGAGCCAGACCAGGACCGGTACACATTTCTTACAAACTCATACCAACACAAAAACACTCACTACTTTAAACTTTCTTTTACTCAGTGAATCAGTGTCATTAAATGAAATTACGTATACTATTAGCCGATCAAATATAATCAGAAATAAGTACTTTTATTTAGCAAGGAAGCACGCATTCAGTCGATCAAAAGGGACAGTAAATATTTGTCACAAAAGATTTCTATTTTAAATAAATGCTATTCTTTTGAAGAATCTTGTTAAAAAGTAGAGTGATTTCCACAAAAATATTAAGCAGCACAACTGTTTTCAACATTGAAAATAATAAGAAGTGTTTCATGAGCACCAAATAAGCATATTAGAATGATTTCTGAAGGATCGTGTGACACTGAAGACTGGAGTAATGATGCTGAAAATTCAGCTTTGCAATCACAGGAATGAATTACATTTAAAATATATTAAAATAGAAAACGGTTATTTTAAATTGTAATCATATTTCACAATATTAAAAGCCTTGGTGAGGATAAGAGATTTTTAAAATTATTATTCACACTAAATTAACATTTTAAATATACAGCAATAACACTCACTTACATAGTCTGCTTAATTGTTTCTCTGATGGGTTTTCCTGCAGAAAGAAGGGACACATCTTGCCATACAGGAACTTCAGGGAATCCTGGTTAGTAGTGCTTCATTTATTTTTATTTTATTTATAATTGATTATTAATTATTAATATTATCACTTAAAATGTATGTTTTTATATGTACGTATATATGTTTTTAATATAAAATAATATAACAAACATATTGCAATATAATTCAAATGTGTTTAAAACTAGCTGTTGGAATAGTAATGGAATCTTTCTGTTTAGAACTCAGTCAAGCGTCCCGGCCCCTCCTCCTTGCCTGGGACACGCCCTCCGTCGCCATCACCGAAGTCTGAGCTGGAGAAAGCCCTGCATAGAAGGAGGGATGCGCTGAAGGCTGAAAAGAATAATAGTCAGTCAAACACACACACGCACGCACTCTGTCACACACTCTGTCTCTTGAGCCAGATCATCTGTTTAACTTTTTCAACCCTTCCCCCTCCAGCGAATTCCAGTACTGTTCTGGATCTTCCCCAGATTAAGCAAACCCAGCCAGAGCCAGGCCAGAACACAAGGGACCAGGACACGCTGCAACACACAACAACCACAGTATGCACTGATCAACTCAAGCCTTCATAGGAGCTCATAGATTGTGAGTATCTGCTCTTTTATGTAGAGCCGTAAAGTTACACACACACAGAACATTTCTTCCTGCACCAGCGAAGTTCATCCAAACTAACCAAACACATGTGACTACAAAATCTAAATGCACTGAGTTAATTACTGTTTGTTTGTTTTTTTACATGTAATATTTGCAGACGTTCAGCCATAATGTGACTTGTGACAGTGCCAAGCAGATGTGTGGTTTTTTTATATGCTCTCGTTTATTTTATTTTATTTTATTTTATTTTATCAACCCATTTATGCCCAATTGTTTAATTTTTCCTTTTTGTTTGGTTCAAAGTGTGTCTGTACTCAGTTTCCATATCCATAACAATATATGTTTTATATAATGTATGAATCAGTGTTTTAGCATAAACTTTTTTTTTTGTTAAGAAATTTATATTTTTATTTAGCAAGGATTCATTCAATTAATCAAAGTGACAGTAAAGACTTTTACATTGTATAATTCAATTAAATGTTGTTTTGAATTCAATTTCTATTCATCAAAAAAATTTTGGTTTCCGCAAAAATAGAATCTTTGATAATAATAAAAAAAAATGTCCCTCATCGACTTTGATCTGGACTGAGCAGCTTGCTGGTTCAGAGAGTCTTGAGTGCGTTCTTCAGTTTTTAACACACACGTCTTGGTCTCAGGACAGTATGCAGTTCTTGTCCTTGTCTTTTCTACTGAGACTCTGTGTCCTTCTTCTCCTGAAGCTTCCTCTTCGGCTCTTGTCCTCGTCCTCTGTCTGTCCTTCTGCTGCTCTCTCTTCGCCCGTCAGCTGCGGTGGCAGAGTGATGCGCTGGCCCAGAAAGAAGCCTTCCTCCTCGGACTCTGAGGAAGAGGAGCAGGTGGAGCAGGAGTCTTCGTGCCGGTAGCGGGTGGAGTGCAGGGTAAGGCCGCCGTCTAGGACGCTGTTGGACCGCCTGCGGTCTCCTACCCTGCACTCCAGGGTTTCCAGACGAGGTCTGTCGCTTCGTGGAGCTCGGGAGCGTCTGAGCCACTTCTCCGTGGGATGGTGGCCACCGCTTCCCCGTTTATTTTATTTTATTTTATTTTATTTTATTTTATCAACCCATTTATGCCCAATTGTTTAATTTTTCCTTTTTGTTTGGTTCAAAGTGTGTCTGTACTCAGTTTCCATATCCATAACAATATATGTTTTATATAATGTATGAATCAGTGTTTTAGCATAAACTTTTTTTTTGTTAAGAAATTTATATTTTTATTTAGCAAGGATTCATTCAATTAATCAAAGCGACAGTAAAGACTTTTACATTGTATAATTCAATTAAATGTTGTTTTGAATTCAATTTCTATTCATCAAAAAAATTTTGGTTTCCGCAAAAATAGAATCTTTGATAATAATAAAAAAAAATGTTTCTTGAGCACCAAATTAGCATATAAGAATGCTTTCTGAAGCTTTGCCATCACAGGAATAAATTATATATTTAAATGTATTAAAATAGAAAACAGTTATTTGAAATTGTAATTATATTCCACAATATTACTGTTTTACTGATTTTTTTTGTTTTATCTAATAAATGTAGCCTCATGAGCAGTTTTTCAACAAATCTTGTTGACCCCAAACTTTTAAACGGTAGTGTACGTACCACCTATACAAGAAACTGTCAGTATGAAAGAAGTAATAGAAAGAAATCTCAGATATTATAGTGATCTCAACAATGTATTTATAGCTAATTTGAGCACACTTTGGGATAAAGTCTGAGATTTCAGGATAACTCCAATATTCTTCACAAACCAAATGATCTAAACTCAGTCTACCTTCATTTTATAGCTTTATGCTATTACAGCATGTCAACAATTTGAGTGTTTTAGAAAAATAAAAAGTTGATACTTGAAAAGTACTCAGAAATCCATGAAGTCTTTCGAGCTGTGAAAGAGCAACCCCTAAAAAATAACTTAGTCACGTTGTATTAACTTAAGAACATTTAAACGTCTATAAGTGGTATAATGTTTTTGTTTTTTCTTCACTTTGAGGGACTTTGAATGTCTGTGAGGGTTTAATAGTAGTGAAACGAAATCCCCTCCGTCCCACAGTCTTATACTTTGGCTGGACCATCCTCATTGAACAAAGTTATTGACACATGCTTTGTCTGTGTGAGAGGCGTTTCTGGAGGGGCGTTGGTGACTAGCCTTGAACATGTGCCAACCTAGTGTGTTTTCAAATGGCTTTGGCTAGACTAGTATTAACCTTGTAATGTCCCACTCGGTAAATACAAGGCACTGGTGTGAACTTATCCCACTTTAACAATCTTTTTACTGTTTCATGAACCTGGATATTTTTTTCAGGTTCAGCACTGGTCTTTCAAAGAATTGGCATTTTCAACAACAGTATAGAAGAGAGGCAATTTCAGGTCGTCAATCACACAAGACTATTATTCCTGAGACAATTTTTTTAAATAACAGACAATGAATTGATGCTATTTATACATTTATTGACTGAGCTGTAATGAAATGTGTTATCCTTTTTCGAATTGTTGACATGCCAACATGACAATAGCATGCTACTGAATAGAATATATAAAGCAGTTTAGTTTAAATGGGTGGCTTAAGTGAAGCATTTTGAAAGCATGTATAGTCACGGGCCTGAGGAGATTTCATTTATGTCTCCCTGAGGAGATATTGTGAGAGGCGGCTGATCTTTGTGACTCTCTGAATGCTTCATTAAAGGAAGTCAGACTTTCATGAGGTGTTATTATTTCAGCAGAATAGTTTTCTGAACCCATATTCTGGAGCTGAGCACATACCTGCTTTTGTCATATTAACTTCCAGCAAAGTTGAAGCGTCAACGGAAGGAGCAGTTTTTTTTAAAGGTGCATGACTTTTTTTTTTTTTTCCTTCAATTTGAAATGCAGAGTTCAAAATGTTCATATAGTCAAATCGTGATTACTAATTTTATTTTTTTTTTCAATTTGAAATGCAGAGTTCAAAATGTTCATAGTCAAATCGTGATTACAAATTTTTTTTTTTTTCAAATAACATGCAATCTACTATAAAAAAAATACCTGATAATGATGTTTTAATGCCCTTCAAAATTTTGTAGAATTATACAAGGTAAGATTTTTTGTTTTTTGAAAGACATCTTTAATGCTCACCAAGGCTGCATTTTTTTAAATAAAAAAATAGTTTAAAAAGTAATATTGTGAAACATTACAGTTTACTGTTTAAATAACAGTTTTCTATTTGAATATATTTTAAAATGTGGCAAAGCTGAATCAGCATCATTACTTCAGTCTTTAGTGTCATATGATCCTTCAGAAATCATGCCAATATGTTGATTTGGTGCTGCTTAATGTTTTTGTGGAAACTTATTTAATGGAGCCTTGCTGAATAGATATATTAATTTATAAAAAAAATCGTAATGCCCCCAAATTTTGGATGGTAGTGTGAGTATGCTTTAAAATAATTAAATAAATAAAAACATTTAAAATACATAAGGTTTTTTAGACCTTGATGTGAAGGTCTTTTTGATAGTCTACAAGGCTGGAAAATTATTCGGGATGGGTTTAAAGCATCGGCTTTTGACTTGGTCAGTGATGAGGTGTTTGCTCATTGGCATTTTGGGTAAACATCTTCTACGTTTCACATTGTCCACTGTAAATCTGATCCTTCAAATTTGTATCTTACCCATCCAGTCCACAGAGAAGCATTTTATTGTCCAAATCGCACACTAGATCAGATTTACACAATGGTGTGACGTTTGTCATGCCTCGTTACTCAACAGGATTTCATTTCCTCCAGTGAGCTGCAGCTGCGGTGATGTTTTTGTGCTGTGAAACAGGAGATGTGTGTGTCTGTGCTGAGGCTCAGTGACTCCTTTCCACTGCTTTCACACACTTGGGCACAATTTCCAACGTGGCTTAGAGCTCTTCATGGGGTTAAATCTTCCCGGACACAAGATGAAACTTTATTCCCTCTCACTCTCTTTCTCTTTCCTCTTTTCTACTCTGTTCCGTACCTGACCGTGGCCTGCAACAGAGAATAACACACACTGTACACGTCGATTCAAGGCTGTGTTTGAGAAGTGTTTTAAAAACGTGTTAGTGTGGCCTGTCATTGTGTTGTGTGAATGGAAGAGCTTTGTGGAATGCTGTTGTGCCGTTTCAGATCTAGCTTTGAATCTTTGAGGTCCATTGAAAGCCGCATGGATGTTTGTAATGTCACACATTGTGAATCTGGTAAACAACGATGTTAAATGTTGGTTAAACTACTGTTGTTCGTGAAAAGTTATATTTTGACTGTCAGTTTTGCAGTCAACTAGCTGTATACTAAAGCCCATATAGCATGAGAGTTGATAGAGATATTTCAAGTTTGTTAAAAAAAAGTCTTTTGTATATAGGCTAGGAAGTATTTTTCTTTCTCACAGCTTTTAGGCTGTTCTACTGGTACAACTTTATTTATTTTTATTACACGGCTCTGTGGAATACTTGATTCTGATTGGTCAGTCATGACATTCCGAGGTATGTTATCCCTCGATAACAACCGGTGAAAGCTTATAACACAGGCTCATCCGGGTAACTGAAGTCGGCGCTGTACTCTTGCTAGGAACAGTTTTTTCTTGGTGGAAGCTTTGCGTTTGTTTAGCTAATAATATATTAAAAGTCGATTCAAAATTAGCCGTGTAATAAGCGGGATAATGTACATCCAGCCGGTAGTTATCGCAGAATAACCCCCTTTAAAAAAAAGTGCATTCATCCATCCATCATAAAAGTGCCCCACACGGCTCCAGGGGGGTTAATAAAGGCCTTCTGAAGCGAAGCGATGTGTTTGTGTAAGAAAAATATCCATATTTAAAACTTTATAAACCGTAATCTTTAGCTTCTGCTAACTGTCATACGCACGTTCTGTCATGATAAGAGAGTGGCGTTCCAGCGGATGATGTAGGATGTACAGTATGCGTAGCGTTAGCTCCAGTGAGAAGTGACGAACACGGAAGGGCAGAGGAGAGCAAAACAAAACACCGGTCACGAATTAGAAGTACAAAACAAGGATTTGTAAAGAGAAAAAAGGGTATTTCGATATAAGCCAAGAGGAGACTGGTTTTTCTTTGCTGTGAACAAAACTTTGTTCTAGCAAGACTAGCATATTCTCACTGGAGCTAATGCTACGCATACGTCCTACATAATCCGCTGGAACGCCACTCTCTCGTGAGCGTGCGTATGACCGTTTTTTCAAGAGATTACGGTTTATGAAGTTTTAAATATGGATATTATTCTTACACAAACAGATCGCTTTGCTTTAGAAGGCCTTTATTAACCTATATTATTTTTAATATAACTCTGAATGAATGATTGAGTAAATCATGGGATAATTTTCATTTTTGAGTGAACTATCCATTTAACTACATTAACAACCACATTAACTAACAATGAAAATACTTTTAATGCATTTATTAATGTTAGTTAAATGTTAATTTCAACCTTTAGCTAACATAAACTATCAGTGAACAGTTAATGTTAACAAAGATTAATAAATACTGTAACAAATGTATTGCTCATTGTTACTTAATGTTGTTAGTGTATTGACTAATTGGACCTTACTGTGTGAAGTGTTACTATTATTATTATTATTGGACTTTGTGTGACCTTAAAACTATATGTGGAAGAGATCAGAAACCCGAATGATAAACATTCTAGAAAGCATCTAGATCCTCTTGGAGTGAAGTTTTCTATCGGTTTCAACTCCATTCCCCAACAGTACTCAAAATACAATCAATAATCTACTCATTTATACTAGCTCTTCTGTCCCGCTCCTTGTGTATTTTGCTTTGTTGATGTTTCTGGTTTGGCGTTTGTTGAAGATGTGAGGTGTAAATGAATAAACATCTTGCCCAACTGCAGTCTCTCTCTCGTCTTATTATAAACATTGTGTCAATCTCGACGAGCTAGTAATCTTGAAACACCGTGCTGGGCTGTTGCTCTGCTGCTGTTTCTGTCTTTCTTATGTTTGCTTTTTTTATGGTGTTCTGAAACACTTGTCTTGCACTTGTTTCAAAACCATAGTCAAGCAACACAAAACAACCTCTACTGACAGAACCACAATTTAGAGTCCAGAGTGTGTATATGTGTGTGTAAAACGCTTAATTTAGCCTGTTTTGTTAGTAATTTTGTTTATTTTTCAAACAGAATGATTGCCTGATGGGAAGCCACAGTAACTTGTAATGCTGGTCTCAAATCTCTCTGTCTCTCTGCGGATACTGCCAGGATCCCCTCCACTCCTGCCGAGTGGAAATAGCTATTTTTTCACAGATGTCACCCATTGTACACTTACAAAATGCTCTCTGGTCTGCATCATGTAAGTTTAATGTATTTTGGCTGTGTTTCTCTCTTTAAAAGGTACAATGTTAGTAAATTCAATGTTAGGATTTCTATGAATCAATTAAGAGGTAAACAAGATAACGAACATGTTGCGAGTTGATTAGGAGCTGAACGTGTCACATTCTTGTGGTCTGTAGTTTTGCAGCACAGCTGTGGGTTTGTGTTTTCTCTCACTTGTTAACACAAAACAGTCCATTCACACTCTTTCACACAAACACATAAACAGACACAAACACTTGTATGAAGCGGACACTGCTGCCCTTTTGAACAGGCTGGATAATTGGCCCCATTCAGTCACTCTGTGTGTGTGTGTGTGTGTGTGTGTGTGTGTCAGTATCTGTTGTCTGTATATAGAGAACCTGTCTGTGTGGGGGAGAAAAAAGGGGGACGGAGTCCATTGTCTCAGTTTTCTGAAATCCCAGATGCATTTTACAATTGAAACAATAATATTAAACACATTTATATACTTAAATATGTAATTAAATTGTGTATTTAAATCTGAAGTGTAATATTTCACACACACACAATTAATTTTGTGGACAATCACACAAAAGAATGATATGGTGGGCAGGTCTATTTGCAAATGTTCACTGTGACTACTGTGAAAAATATTAAAATGTATTAATTGTGGGTGGGCTTTATATAAAAAAACATGGTTATGTTTATTTAATGTTTTTTTAATGTATAAACCATCTATAAGCACTAAAGTATATCACACAGGAATATGGTGCATGTGATGAGATAGTTTACATGTTGCATGTTTACAATCTTGCACTAAAAAATATATTTTGATGCCATGCAGTCAGGTCAGACAAACCTTACTGTTATAATGTCAGACAGACAGACAGGAGATGAAGTCACATCAAGTAGAGATGGTCACAGAGTCACAGCCGCTTCCGGAGTTAAATGTATGGAAAGAGCTAACCGAGGCTGTTTTTTTTCTCTAGCACCTGAAAGACACAAAGGTACTATACATTGTTTTCTGAATATAGATGCTACTTATAGTACTTGCCATTATGTAAGTGTGAGAATGTGTGAAGGACAGAACCGTACCCAGGATCCCCTCATGCTCCAGTTCCTCTTCTATCGCCATCAGACGATTGTATTTGTCCATTCGCTCTCGTCCTCTCAACCCGCCCAGTTTGAGAAAGGACACACCTGACCCTACAGCCTTTAAACACACACACATATGGTCAGGTCCAGAAGAAAGAAACTGTGACTAAAAATCGAATTAAACCTGAAAGTTTTCAGATTTTGAAAAATGTCTAACAAATCAAACCAATAATTATTTAAGATTTTCCATTAGTAATCATTATACTAATCAAATCAGCTAAATTCTAACATTCATGTTTATTTTTTTTTAAAATGCAAATTAATTAATATAGTTTTTAATTAAAATTTTTCTACTAAATTAGAAAAATTGTCGGTCTCAGTTCTTTGGACTCTTGTCATACATTTGGTTTGTGTTCAGCATCACATTTAATCTACAGTATGATAAAAATGTAATTTCATGAGCTGCATCAGTTGTTTGACTGGTATGTTCATTGGCACATATTCAGGAACTAAATTAATCTGATTTCACTATTTATTTTTGTATTTTTATTAAAAGACTTAATCAGAGACTACATGCACACATACCACTGAGAAATGAATTCCCTAACAAAAAACAGAATTGTTATCAACCCACCAGGTCAACAGTTGATGTATCGCCACTGCCTGCAGCCAGCATTGTCTCTGCATCTAAGTGTGCATAGGGAAGAGTTACATACTTATTACAGTCAATATATTTAGACTTGGATGTTATGCAAATTATTGTCAAAGCGACAATGCCAGAACACACAGTGAGCACTTAGATTTGAGTAAAATACACTTTCATCCTGTTTGCTCATGTTCGGAGCCTACCTTTCCGCTCTGCTATGTTTTGTATAAGGTCAGAGATGGTCATATCACTATGGTGCCTAATAATGACCCTAGTGACCCCAGATGGGAGGGGTTTCGCTTCACTCCAGCGAGGACAGAGATTGGTTGCAGCATCTGCAATCAGGCAGCATGACTGACCAATCACTGAAGCCAGCCTCTCCCACTGATCTACATCCTTAACTCGGAGACACGCTGTCAGTTCAACCAGATGAGCTGCATGACACTTGGTACACTAAGGAGTTTAATATCACATTTAATCTCACCTCTTTCCTGAAAGGATCAATGAGGGATGTGATAGCAGGATATTTGTTAATCAGACCCTCGTATATGTCCACCAATTCATCTGGGTATTTGTGACAGCCGGACATTACCTCATACTTCCCACGTGACTAGAAGACAGCAAGAAAAACATTTAAAATGGTTACTGTATATTATTTAGACTTTTATTTTAAACATTTGCAGTACTTGTTTTGGGTGAACGTGAAAGTAATTATTTCTCTGTTCTGTCTTCTCATCACTCACATTCTCCATCAGGCCGTGTGCTGCACAGTTTATAGCCAAGCGCAGGTCTGAACCCAAAGGCAATGCCAGGTTAGCACATGCCTCTGTGACCAGATCAAGAGCCTGTTCAGGACGTTCAAACCCCACCTGTAACGCTCCCTCATCTGTTACACCTATAGGCTGAGAAAGACTAGGTTAGTGATAGAAGAATATTATATATCATCATAATGAATTATTGGCAACATGTGGCAAAATGGAAATGGTTTTGAAAAGTTTCAGACAGTATACTAGCTTGGGACTATTAATTGTTATTAAAGCTATCACAGAATTATTACTTTACATTCATTACTGTTCAATAGTTTGGGGTTAGTAGGATTTGTTTTTACATGTTTACTGTTTCTGAAAGAAGTCTATTATGCTCAAAAAAGTTGTGTTTATCTGATAAAAAATAAATAATACAGTAAATGCAGCCATATTGTGAAATATTATTACAATATGAAATATATACTGTATATATACATTTGAATATAGAATTTATTACTGTTAAGTTGTAGCTGCATTTTCAGCAGCTGTTACACAGATGTTAAAATACATAAACAATTGTGGGATTTATGAATGTATTTATTTAAAAACATGTTTATCTTTTAAATAAATAAATCCATCTATAAGGCACTCAAGCCAGTTTACATATTTACAGTCTCATTCTTGCACTAAAGATTAAAATATATTTTGATGTGAATTATAATTATGAATTTTGATGTCATACAATCAGGTCAGACAAATCTGTATTGAGGCTTATTTCATTCAGGAATGACTTTATTTAAAGAAACATTTCTTATTATTATCAATGTTGAGAACAGTTGTGCTACTTTTAGATACTTTTTTTCCAGGATTATTTAATGAATAAAAAGTTAAAAAGAACAGCATTCATTTGAAATTGAAACCTTTTCTAACATTATAAATGTCTTTACTGTCACTTTTGATGAGTTTAATGCATCCTTGCTGAATAAAAGTATTCATTTTACAGACCCCAAACTTTTGAAAGGTAATATTTACTTTTGGATTTATTTCACAGTTTGTGTAAACATTGTCAATAATGGGTGTTCTCAACCTTATGCAATGTGTCTAATTTGCACATTAACATGTAATGATAACTGCAAAAACAATACATTTTCTTTTCTTCTTTCCATAAAATCACTGACTTCTTGATGTCAGACATTTTTTAAAACCAAAGAGGGGCAGTAATCATGGCCAAACCCCTAGACATTTGATCTCTGAAAAGCCCAGGTTGTCCTCTTTAACAAGTGTAGCTGCGGCACGCATGGTTTTAGAGAAATTGACAAAAAGCAAGTGACATAAAGTGCTGGATCCAAGGAGGTTATACCATAAAATTGTACGATTGAGTGTTAACTGGGAAATGATATCCCATTGATAATCCATTATGTATCCTTACAGAAGCCATTCCTGGTGGTAGCGTTTAGTTCCACTTGTAAATCAAACTCACCTGAACAAGCTCAACCGAAAACCAGGGAATGTTAGAACTAAACCGAATCCAGCACCCCTACCTTATAATGTTATGAAGGTCTATATCAAGGCTATAACATTAGTGCTCTGAGGTTCCCACAATGCACAGTGCACCAGTAATAGCCTCCCATCTAAACATAAATATATATTTATTGTGTGACATGCTGTTAAGTGGTTCAATCGTCATTCATAAGCCCTGCATGTGATTGAGGCCTGTTTATTTCATTCAGATGATGATGTGCGGATAATTACCCCAACAAAGCATCAAAAAAAATAAAAAATCCACACATAATTTGTGTGCTGCTTGATGCTTTTGTGTGAGCCGGAGCATAGAACATTATGTCCCTTTGTCAAAGAGTCAAACCCTATGAGAGCATCCTTACCCCAGCTTTATACGCAGATCCATTCAAAACTCTCCTCATTTCACACTGCAGCTCAAGGCCCATGCCAATGACCTGCCAGGCCAACACACACACACACTAAAGATAAGTAGTCTGGACACTGGAGTGAGAGCAGTCAGTACAGCATTAACACTTCTGTGTTGAACACAGCCTACTTTACTAAAAGAGTGTTTGTTTTTGTTTAAGTGTAAAAAGGTGGGATCCTTAAGCACATGCATACTTCTCTGACTCTTTGCAATGAGCTGGGCATGAGGATGACCTCCTCCAGCAGGTTGAGTTTGCCCGCAGAGTTCTTTCCACAGCTCAGTATTGTAATCATAGGCGCTGTCAGGTGCGTCTTATTCTGAGCCTAAAGCAGTTCACAGGAAATGAGGAAGAGGATAAAAAAGGAGTTTTACATCAGTATAGTGTTATTTATTAGTATATTTCTGTATAATAAGTTCATCAGAACACGTCTTCTCCCGTAATGCAGTTCTTCAAGCACACACGTCACCTTGATGATAAACATGCATGACGTGTGTCTGTGTATTTACATACACTTTAAAAGTTGTCTAACTAAAGCAATAATACAGTCCGTGCTACCTAAAGCAATATTTTTTTGATTTGATGTGATTTGTTTTTTTAAAGAAATTAAAGGAATATTTCACCCCAAAATGCAAATTTGCTGAAAATTTACAAACCCTCAGGCCATCCAAGAAGTAGATGAGTTTGTTTCATCATTGAAACTGATTTGGATAAATGTATCATTACATCACTTGCTCACAAATGGATCCTCTGCAGTGAATGGTAATCCACAAGTAATCCACTCTTGTTAAGTAAAAAGCTGTGTGTTTGTAAGAACTTGAATATGTTCACGTGGCTTTTCACATTACAAGATATTAATTGATGGACTGGAGTCTTGTGGATTATTGTGATATTTTTTCATCTGCTGTTTGGACTCTCATTCTGATGGCACCTATTCACCATTGGTGAGAAAGTGATGTAAAGCCAAATCTGTTCCAATGAGGAAACAAACTCATCTACATCTTGGATGGTAAATTTTCAGCAAATTTGCATTTTTGGATGAACTATTCCTTTAATACTTTAATTTAACAAGGACACGTTCAATTGATCAAAAATTTTAAATTTTAATGTCGTTAATTTTCTATTAATCAAAGAATCCTGAAAAAAAATATGAATGTATGTTTACACAAAAAATTAAGGAGCACAACTATCAACATTGATGATAATAATAATTTCTGTTAATAAATTAATGTTTCTTGAGCACTAAATAAGCATATCAGAGTGAATTGGAAGGATCAAGACTGGAATAATTTGGCTTTGCCATCACAATAATAAATTACATTTTAAAATATATTAAAATTAATATAATAAACCAGTTATTTTATATTGTAATAATATTTCACAACATTACTGTTTTTACTGTATTCTTGATTAAATAAATGCAGCCTTTGTGAGCATAAAATCTTACCAACCCCCAACTTTTGAATGGTGTAGTACCTGCGGGACACTGACTGATGTGATATGTCGGTATAAGGGTTCTCCTAGAAGTCTGGCAGCAGTTCTTGCCACAGCCAAATAATCCACACCCACTGCTGTAGCCCCTGGCAGCCTTGGCACTGGGGTCTCTGCAGGAGGGAGGGGCTTCTCTGTGTTGTTTCCTTTTTTACCTGAATACAAAAAGAGTGACGGCAGAAGAAAGTGCAGGGGATGGAGAGGTCAAAATGAAGGATCTGCAGTTTAAAGTGCATTATATTATCTTATGTCATCTGAATCTTAAAGGAGAGCTGAAGCATCAAAGTTTTTAGTTCCTGATTATTTCTCTAGCAAAAATGTCCAATAATGGTGGGGTTGCAGAGATTATCTGAGTGTGCGATGTCGACATGGCGGCCACCATGAGAGAAGACCCACTCCATGCAGAATAAAACAGCTTTTTCTAGGCCACTGATATAACTGAAAACCATCATATTAAACATCTTTTTCAAAAGTACTATTCATTTATTGAGGGGTAAATGTTTTTTTAAAGTAGAAAAGGTTACCTGGGGCACCTCTAAATCTGTATATCTTTGATTTTTCTAAGATTTCAAGAAAGGTTGGATTCAATTAAAAGGTTCAAACAGAGTCACCGTCACATAGAATGAAACACATGTGACTCAGTACAAGCTGCTAATGTATCTGAGAGTAGCTCCCAGTAGGATTTCTATGATAACAGAGAAGTGTGGAATCTTTCAGACTGCTTTTTACAACAGGTCTCAGATCAGTGAGATGACAGCAGAGTGCAGAAGATTGGCTGCAATCCTGTCAACCATCCTGTCTTTGAATCCCACAGGGTTTTTTTACTTGCTGTACTAGGATGAGCTTTTTTCCACCTGTGGCAACCTCACTTAACCTGACTCTGATCCCTCTTCTATTCTGATATATTTATTGTGTGAGCTCAAATTATATGTGAAATACATTTTCTTTATTGTGAAATACAGCTAAATACTCTTTAAAAATGGCAAAACATTAAGCTCCTTTATCTTTATCACCTCCTTTCTTGTCTTTGGCAGGGGCAGGGGCAGGGGCAGGGGCAGGTGTAGGAGCCTCAGACACTGATTCATTCCTCAGCTCATCCTCCTCCTCTCTGTTAAGGCTGTCCTTGTACTCCAGGTAACGAGCCATGAAGAAATCACTGCAGGCAAAAGACACACAACCTCAGTCGTGCATGTGTGTATTAAAGCTTAGTTATCATAACAACCTTCGTGTTCTTTGAGTGATGCTTGTGTATTTTGTATCGTATGTGTAATCACCTGAGTAGTTTGTCCATATTGGTTTGGTCAGTGGGGTTGAAGCCTTGCAGCATTGGACTGAGTTGCTCTCTGATCAGACAGACGTTGCTGGTTGTGCTGGTTGCTGTTAGAAAATACATTTGAGCCTCATAAAAAAGTAAACTGTAAATTTTTTCTAAAATGAATTAAGCAAGAGTTCATGGTCGGGAATACAAGACATTTCAAAATTCAAGACTGAAAAGACAAAGGTCTGAATATAACAATCTACACATGAACTGTTGGCCCTGGTGCTGCTGTGTGCTGGTGTTCACCACTTGATCTTTGTATTTCATTGTCAAAATGTGTGGATTTCACATTGAAAACAATGCATTTCTTTCACGATAAGCGGAACGGCGAATATTCTCTTCAAAGATGAGTATGTTTGGGTTTGGCTAATGCTAAAGCAGAGATCAGAAGTCAGAAAGTTCTGTTGAAAAGTGAGTCATCACTTTCGAGCACTTCCAAAACACTGATCTGAATCTGGGCAGTGTTCTACACCTCTCCCTTCTTATCACTGTTTCTCCCCACTTTTCTTTCTTTCTCCTCCCTTCCTCCTTTCACCTGTCCACTTCACTCCCAGCTCATGCATACAGTTTGCCTGTTCCTTGTTCCAATGTATCACTGTCATAATTCCTAAATGTGCCAAACTAAAACAGCAGCACTCAACTGCAATATGGCCACCATGCCAGAAGACATAATGCTTACTTTGCAAACAGAGCGATAGAGAGATGGATGCAAAACAGATGGAGAATGAGAGACAGAGAGTGATCTGTTGCTCACACATAGTGGTTAGGGTGACCATACGTGCCATTTTCCCAGGACGCGTCCTGGCCAGGATTTCTATATTGGCTAAAATATCGTGGTTTTGGCTTTGTTTGCGTGAGCAGACCGATCGGTGTATGACATTAAAGTACCTCGAGAGCATTTTGAAAGCGTAAGGAACTGTCTGTATGGTATTTTGATGTCATACACCGATCGGTCTGCTCACGCAAACAAAGCCAAAACCTAGATATTTTAGGCAATATAGAAATCCTGGCCAGGACGCGTCCTGGGAAAATGGTACGTATGGTCACCCTAATAGTGGTTGGTTGCTGAAGCACGTGCGTTACAGTACAAACGCACACGCTCTGCTACTTTAATTGTTCTGTGTGTGCATGAGTATGTGGACATGCTGTGACCTAAATGCATCATTGTGTCACTGTCACTACAATTTTCTGCAGTGAACAGCATGGTGCAAATGGCACAAGGTGAAAGGTTACAGGGCGATGAGCTTCCAGTTCCTCATAACCAGCAAAACAGAGACACTCAGATCTGATAACCATCTTGTTGCCTACAAAAAGCAACGTTAATTTAATTAAAGCTCATGGGACAAACTGGTAGCTGCTCTGAAATGTAGGGGAAACGTGTGGATGATTTCAGAATATATCTTTTCCTCTTTCCTGATGATGCAGTACACTTGGGTCTGAACTGCTGTCAATCCTCTTCCGTCAAACACCTCTCTTCCAGTGATTTTACTAATCACTGGAGTATAGGAGAGCCTGGAAAAATAGTTCACCTGAAAAAGAGCAGTAGGTAGTTATTGATTTGAGTTCATTATGTTGGTGTGTAATTATGGGGATCTGACCTACATCAATACTGACCTCATTCTGGTGGAATAACAAGTAAACTGGAGAACACGCAATGACAATTGTCATTTATAATTCTACAGCAGGTATAATTATAATTATAAGATCAAATGTTAACAGTTGCCATGTCTCAAAAGCATATGTTATTTGATTTGTCCCACCAGATAACCATAGATATCATCCGGCGTCTGCCAAAACACCTCGTTCAAGACGTTTTCTATCTTCTGCGGGACCCCGGTGGACCTGTAATACTCTGCGGCTTTGTTCTTCAAGTCGTAAAACTCCTGGTCCTCTTTTGATACTTTGCTATGGCTCAAGAATCCTTTATATGACATGGTTGTTTGGTTTACGACAGAATTTCTTCTTTACAGTCCTTCGCTGTCAGGTGCGCGACAGGCTTTGTTGACGGTTTGCGGTTGCTCCGCAACCTCAGATGTAACACCGCGAGAATTGAGTCTGCGTTTCTCTTTCATAACGCATTTAATTGGAATAAGTTCAATATCCATCTTGACGCTGTTGTGGCCTCCATAAACATAACAGGATCCTCCATTCCTCTTGACGTAAAATGCTGAATATTTCGCGACCTCTTGTTCCCAACCTTCACAAGCCTTAAATTAATTTAATGATAAATCTGATTGATAACGCATTATCAAACTTAGTTTAAGGGGGGAAACTACATGCACTCGCAAACTTGAGAAGAAATAGCACCATTATTCGTCGCATCAACAATTAATATAGAATATAAAACGTTTTATAGTAGCCTATGTAGTGTATTTTTAATCATTTTAATCATTTTTATTTTGTTTCAGACTAAAACATGACCCAACATAGGCTACTTAAACATATGAATCAAAATAAGCCTATTTGGCCGCATTATGATTTGGATCTCAGTGTCAGGTTGTTGGTTAAGAGCTTTACGGATTCAGTGGATTTAGCGACGGTACTCTTCTAGGACCCGCGGAACACGTGATATCAGAGACAATGGCAATGCAAGGATAGCTAGACATTTCTCATGCTCATGTTTCAGCAAACAGTTCTGTTACGTTTCTATAAAGTAGACACTAAATGTCTCGAAATATTTTACTGTAGGCTGGTGGAAAACCCTGAATGGTTGTTCTACATGTCAAAAAATAAAATTAAAATTAAACGAAAAATGCGGTAATGTAGCTAAATTATCCAAAAACCATGCCGCGGTCATAATATAGACATTTTCGTTCTGAATAAACTAAATTGCAATCATCCAGGTTCTTAATAAAGAAAAGACAATTGGACAGCTATTTTAAAAATAAAAACAACTACTAATAATATTAATGTAGGCCTAAGTGTAGCCTATAATAATAATATTAATGAAGTATTATTATATTTTATTATTTGTATAGCTATAAATGCTAGGCCTACGCAATAAAGTGATCTGCGCAGTTGCCGCTGCGTAACAAACTAAGACTGCTATATTAATGTATTATTTAACGTATCTAATATATTGCATGAGTCCACATGAATTATTCTGCTAAGTGCCCAAGTGCAAGAGTTGCCATTAAAAGGTATTATTTGTTGATCTGTTTGGATGGAATGAATAGGCCTACGGCAGGTCGCCAATGACCACTGTAATGTTAACCGATGCTTTCATTTGATATAAAATATAAAAGACAATCTGCCTTACATTCTGTTAAAGCTAGCATTAATGGGAATATATTTTATTCATTTTCAAACTTTTCAATCTTTGAAAACTAAATGCATTTAGTTAAATGGGCCTAAATGGGTTGTATGAAAGTCTTGAATGAAGTTAAGGTATTTTCAGATAAATCAGATCATTTAAATGTTTTGGAACAATTTTTGTTGACATTTCATATTTTATCACACTATCAGAGAAATCGGAAATGGAAATAAACATTTGTTTTAGATCATTATCAAAATTCACTCTGACGTTCATGCACTAAAGCATGTCTAGTTATTTATAGTCACGCAGTTTTGCAAAGTCCAATACAAAGTAGTAATTTATAATAAAAATATGCCTATTTTATTGTTTAATGTATAATTTAATTTAGCGTGTAATTTTCATACACTCTCTCTGTGCTTCTTTTCAATCTTGCTTTTGTTTGGCTTTCTAACAAGATATTTAGCTGTGGGTGCGTGGGCTCTCTGAAAATGATTTGACCATTTTTCGTACGATGTAAATTAATTAAGCACATATATAAGGATATTATTTGCAATGTTTTGATTTAGAAGTTCAAAGAGTGACTTATGAAATATTTATTTTGCCAGCACACATCAGATTTTTTTTCCGCTGTTGTCAGCAGTTCATTTATTTCTGTGCTCATGGTGGCGTATTAATAAACCGTGTTCAGTTTTTACTTTATCCTTTAAAAAGATATATATTTGAATTCAGGGTGAGTCTATAACTGATTCAATCAGAGCGCAGCACAGTCCTCTATCCAGACTTGTGTTACCATTTAGCATAAAGGCCTGTTACGAGTAATAGTGAGAATTCATTTATATTTGCCTTCTTACATATACCTTTATTGCGTTAGGTAATTCTCACCAAGTTTATTATAGTATTCGTTTTCGAAAATATTATTTTCTGTGCTACAAATTAACTTGTGTTGCTGTTAGTTCAGTAAGGCAAAGCTCCTTGTCCAGATTAACGAAGGAAAAGGACTAGTTTATGGTTTTCATTTTTCCCCGGTACATGCATTAGGCTCTAGTATTCTTAGGTTTGGTTATTAAAAGACACATTAGAAGCGACATTTTAACATAATCTTACTGTTGTATTAAACTGAGAGCATTATTTACATGGAGCAATCTGGAGTGTAAACAGTCTGGTTCGCCTGTGTGACTGTAACTTCGGTTCACGCGGAGGTCAGTCGCCTCAGGACACAGGAAGTCATCGAGAGGGCAGCAGAATCACTGACGTCACGGACTAGAGCGCGTTTCATTGGCTCATTTCATTGTGTTGCGCTTGGCTGGGTCGTGCAGATGGGGCAGACGGTAAACAATAGGCTATCTGACACAACAAAATATGCTTGCTTAAACATGAACCGAGCCTCCATCGTATTTCCGCATGGAGCAAAAGCAGTTTGATTTTTAAAGGAAACAGGTAATATTGCATTTCTTTTCAGCGTATCTCTATACAGAGTATTGCATAGGAAAAACACGGTAAACTTCACAGAAATCAAGTAGGATTCAGTCCAGTACCGTGGTTAAACTCTCTAATGCAATGCACACGGAATGTGTCTCATCTGAAGATGAACAAGTACAAAAACACCTCTGTATTTCATGAAATAGGTCAATTTCACTCAACAGAGCATCAAGATTCACCAAAATCACTAAAAACATTTCAAGCAGATATCTGGATATATTTGTAGCCATTAGACTGTGCGGTCACCTCCTCTGAGTTCAAGTATGTTACTGTCGCCACCAGCCGGCCGCGTCTGCGCACTCTCAAGATCAATCTACACAGACATTCTGCAAACATTTCTTTTCTTTTCATAGCCTATATTATCCCGCCTAAGAGAACATACATATTTTGCACTGAAAACAAGTCACAAAATTCAGGTTAATTGCCTAAAAACTACAGACAAATACACAATTTATTTAACTTACGTTGCAGTGATTTATTAGATTTAGTTTACTATCAAGCATTATGATCTAGCCTATATAAAATTCCTAATTAACAATGTTGGATATCATGCAAAACTTAAGACATTAAATGTATTATGCATATGTAAATTAACATATGAAACATATGTAAATTAACATTCACTCAACTACTTTCATTTGATTAAGAATGTTTATTGACTTACATTTCGGAGAGGATCCATAGACACTTCCTTTAGGACGACCCGAACGTAATCTATGTGATAGAGACAAACCAAACGCATATCTCCAGCTTTATATACTGCATAAGAGAATCATATAACCACAAGTTACCAAATAAAGAGAGTCGTAAAACCCTGCTAAGCTGTGGCTAAAACACCCTGTTTAAACGGACCTGTGCCTGCCTGTGTTGGGGCGACCGCTGGGCCCTGTGAAGGACTACAGGCTTTTCAAGAGTGTGAAAGCTGGAAACATCCACATTGTCAAGACATGTGACTGCCTGTAGGTCAGACACTCCCAGACAGATCTGTTGTCTGTTTTCTTCCTCCTTGCAGAACTTCTTGGAGCCTCAAGCAATATTGCCGCTTTTGTATTATTTGGTTTTCCTAAAGTTGTAGCAAGTACATTTGATGTTTTATGAATATTTATTCGTGCCAAGCACAGACCAAGCATCTCGCGCTCAGCCACTTGTTGCTTATACCTTAAGGCCAGTAACTGCATTTTTGTCGTGCCGTCATAATACATTTTGACCTCATATAAGGCATGCATCATGTGGATCAATACAAACACAGAATATAATGCACTTTATGCCATGGCCAGAGCTTTCACCAAAAGCTACATTTGCATTCAGACGTTTTAATTGCTTAACTAATGTTAAACAGCTTGCCAAGGGTGACGCTGGGTCACGGGGGAAAAGGGCCATTTCTACCTAATTAGCGCGTCTTGTCCTATCCTTAAGCCGCCAGATGCATCGCCTGATGCCCTGATTAATGCTTTCAGAGCCGCGCACTTGCCCAGTCATGTTTTCAAACTTTGCCAGGTGTCATCTGAATGAACACCAATAGATTATTTTTTTTCAGTTTGTGTTTCATCCTGAATTAATACGACCACGAGCACTCAATGCGGACTTCCTTGCCATTCACTGAAGATTTGTTTTATAATTTAAGAATTGAGCTTGTTTGATTTGGTAATGTAGACCAAACCTAATAATGTTTTACTTATAGCTTGATGATTTTACGTGTTTATAGCGTGCAACTTACACGTCGATTCTCAACTTCGAAAAACATGTATTCGTTTGTAATTCAGTGTTATTAATATTCAAGCGTAAAAAAAGTTCCTGACAATAAATATTTGCCTATTTATTAGACTACAGCTCGAACTATAATCATTTTATTTTAAAAAATCTGTAAATTATTTGGTTTTACATTTGCTTCTGAACATGATCATACTGACAATCTTCGGGGGGGGGGGGGGGAGACTTTTTTCACTTTGTTTATGCATGCAATAGATCATTTATAGATATTTTACGAATACTTCAATAATAGGGTATGAATTAATATATAGGCTAATCTAACCAGAAACAGCCTAATTAACACATAATCTGACCAGAAACCATTTTTTTATTATTTATTTTTTTTTTATTATTGAAATTAATAGTATTTTAGGTTTGTTAAATATTGTGTATTAGAATGCAATTCATGTGATCAAACAGCGTAGCCTATATTCGGCGATAAATTAATATGGTTTCAACATAAGGAAAACATCTGCAAACAGACGAAAAATAACTTACTTTGTTGATATGTATAAAATTGATTACAGAATGTATTTGAAACAACTTACGCTTCAGATTAATAATGAGTTCTTGCCTTAATGAAACGATCTCGTTTAAGTCACTAAAGAGGGTTCACGGACAGGTCGCGCAGATTTGAGACACAGATTTGTTGAATTATTCGATTCTTTCTTTCCCTGCTGCCATCTGGCAAATACATAAGTGAGATCAAACCCGTGACCTTCGCATGTTGCCGTATTAGTATACATTTTCTTCCTGGGAAAATAAGAGACAAGTGTTATTTAACCCTGCCGTGTGCATAATGAAGGCTGGGGACAAAAAAAGCGTAAAGCGCTGAAAGATGTACGCAGGAATAGTCACTTACAGAATCATTCAAAGCATCTCTAGACTATAAGCCTATAGCCTCATTGCCTTGTGTTTTTATTAACTTAAGTAGTGTTAACTGGGAAGTGTATTTAGCATAGCTATAGCCATAGTTTAGCTTAGATTACTATAGAATAGTTTTCTGAGTTTACTAGGTTAATTAAACCCCTTTCATTTGGAGAAAATTAAAACAGACAGCAGTGGTGGAGCCAGGATGTTTTTATAGGGGTGGCCAGGGAGGCTCCCAGGGAGGGGCCAGCAACCTGTCTGGGGTGGCACAGAAATCATCATTATTTCAATATAAAAATGTGATTGGACTGTTTTAGTGCCTAAAACACAACTGAATACAATTCATTTCTACTAAATTCTATTATAGATGTGTGAATTAGATCAATGCTGAGTGAATATGACAATTTGTGTAGTATTCCCCACCTCAGGTATTTTAATAAAGGGGCTCACTATAGCTTTATTGCTTAGTCAGCTTGGTTCTGGTTCTCAAAACCCCCAAAAGCTTGTTCTCCATCATTGCATACTCATTGATGAGACATGCAGATAGTGATAAGAATTGGTTAATAAAACAAAGGACGGAAGTCAACAGCACATAAGTGCCAGAAAGTAAAATGAGTTATTTTATGCATTTAAATGGTTTCATTTTCGTTTGTACTTTACAAAATAAAAAATAGTGCTTGTTTTCTAGTATAAGTGCACTGTGTTCGTATTTACTTGTGCATTCAATTACAAAAAAAAGCTTGCGCCTTATTGTGTAGGCCTATATTGTATCAATCAATCAATCAATCAATCTTTATTACAGACTCAAGGTCCAAAAAAAACAAGACAATAGGACAACATATACAACCCACAGCATCTACCACCACAATAAAAAGTTACAAAATACAACAATACCAATGTCTCCACAGCTTTGACTGAGACCGTGTAGTACTAACCCTTATATTTGATAGACCCACAATAATCTCATTTTTTGAAGCATTTAGCCGGCAGATAAATCTATACATAAGATTTCGTAACAGTGTTTCAAAAGTGATTACTCTTGCACTCACAAACATTTCACTTGCACTATGCCATCTAGGTCTCTTTAGTAAAATTCTCATTGCATCATTATAAGCTACTTGCAGCTTCTGTAAACTAGATGTTCTATAGTTGAACCACAGATGAGCAGTATAAAGTGTTGTACAATATGCTTTAAAAAGTGACACCTTCACCTCATCTGAACAGAAACTAAACTTACGTAAAAGTATATTCGCCTGCATATACATCATACGGCGTTGCCTTTCAATATCCTCATCGTCTGTCATGCGTTCAGTGATGAAATGTCCAAGGTATTTTACTCTAGCACACACAGTGATACTCCTATTAGACAACTTGAAAACCTTTATCCTCCTTAGTTCTGTATATTGTGATCTCGAAAGTGGGTCTCGAATGTGATCTCGAATTGCACAATATTTTAGTACATGCATCTGAGATACGTTCTTTAATGTGATGCTATACATGAATGCACTTATCGCCACTTAACTGACGACAGAACTACATTGTATGTTCATAGTTTCTTGCACGCATTATTTATGATGAAGCGATATAGAGCGTGCGCCTTATATTCGCGTAAAGTTGAAGAGTGTGCGCCTTGATGAGCACGGTAAAACAGCAAAGTTGAAGTACGCGTCTGAAAGGTCTCCCGTTTGATGTGGTCATAAAGAGATACGGTGGTTCCGCGTCTTAATAAAGGTATTTCTTGTCAAAAAAGTGACCAAAACTGCAGTTTTGAGTGGGGTGGCCAAGTTTAGGCCACCCCTGGCACCCTCTGGCTCCGCCCCTGACAGACAGGCCAACTTTAGTATTACAAAGATCTTATAAAACAATTAGTAATTTTCGCATTCCTAATTCGTATGAACTGGCCTACAAATTCAACAATTTGTCGTCTGTCTTTTCTTAAAATCAATGTATAAATTGTAATCTATAAATTAAGCCTAGAACTTTACAGGGTCTCTCACATCAAGCATGTCATGGAAGTGACATTAAACTGTTAGGCTAATGATGATAATTAGCCTAAAGGTTTGGCCTAATAGTGAAAAGTTTATGAAATTAATAAACGCGAAATGGTAACTCAAATTCATTAATAGCCTAGCACTTAAACATTTCAATTAGTAGGCTATTGTAGCACTTGTAGCATCCGCGTTGTAGCTATTTTAACAGACATTTTAAGGTATTACATACAAAATCCACAGAGCCAACGTTTCCTGTTGTTTTCAGTAAGGTAAAGTAATGTCTCTTTTACACCGTCCACAAGTAAATATAAACAAAAGGACTTCTCTAACGTCAATTAATCTGGCGCTAGTCAGTTACGTAAATGCATTTTGCGTAACACTGCACAAATCTTTGGACCAAAATAACTCCCGACGTTTGTGTGTGTGTTCAAGGGTTTATGTTGTACGGCCAGTGTTCTGACAAATAATGCTACCTATCAGATTATATACAGCTACCAACACTGTATTTATCCTACTGTAAGGGTAAATTTAGGGTTGGCTAGGTGTACATGTTAATAAAGCCTCACACTTTATTAATATCATGCTGGAAGCAAAATCTGATAGGTAGAACTTTTTGCTATCGAATTATGCTACCATTTGTTTTAATGGGAGGTAGCAAAATCTGACAGGGTATAGCACAAATCGTCAGAACACGGGTGTAGTGCCGAAATTTGCACCCTGCCAGATTATGCACCCCCTAGTATTGGTAGGTTTAGGAGTAGGTGTGGGGGAGGGGTTAGGATTAGGGGTGGGGTTGGGATTAGGTCATTCCACCAGGAGGGAACAGTTAATGTAGAAGTCCATGAAAGTTTTATCATTGGTAGAATGCAAAATGTTTCAATTCAAGCATGTCAGTCAAATGTAATTTATACAATATTTCAAACCTTTAACCCACTTGGGAAAATCAATCCATGGCAACAGTTTAAAAGTAGCCAAATTCTGTGGAAAAAACGCGGACTTGGCAACCCTGCATCCAACAAGAGCAGCAGGAGTCAGCTTTGACTGATCACAGGTCGAGAATAAGGAGAGATGACTGACAAGACCATGCTTGAGTATTTGCTGCTCAACAGATCCTGAGCTAATTGACAAAAATCGGATCTTGTAAGATGTGCTCCCTTTACACAGAGTGCATGTGATCGCGAAATCGAAAGTGAAAGTATTGCTCATTCAAGATGCTCATTCAAAAATATTTAAATACACCGCATCCTGAGAGCGGCTCCCTGATGCGCCAAAATTATATACAATATTAGAATA